GCATTTTTATAAATAGGTAATTAAAACAGATGACTAAAATTAAGTCAAGCTGCAAAACATTACCCAGGATGCACTGTGTTTTTTTTTTTTTTTTTTAATAAACATCTCAGGCAGTTTTTTTTCCCATCTGAAGCACTTTAGGGAGGGAAAAAAAAAAAGTGGGAAGTTTCATAGGGGGAAAAAACACATATATGTAATGAAATAATGCCAAACCTCAAACTAAAGTATTTACAAGATAGTCCCTTAAGCACAGTTTGTCATATTGCAATTACACCTTGCCTACTGCCAAGTCAAAGTGCTTACTATTGCCACTAGAGGGAGAAGTGTCTTAACACAAAGCAATGGTAGATAGGGAATGGGTTTTCTTGAGCAATTATCAGAACAAAGCTCCCTTGGCTGTGTGTACCTTCTAATTACTCAACACAATTAAAATGACTAACCTAAAACAAATAGGAGGGAAAAAAGCACAAAAACCTGCCTGCCTGATAGCAGGAACTTTACTAAACCTGTTTCCTTCATCAATCAAATCAGAAAGAAACATGTCATACACAAACATTACAGTTCGTATATGAGGTAAATTCTGATTTTTTTCCCCCTTAGGAAGAAAAGAAGAGGCTCTCTAGAAAATAGAGAATGTTGTGGTATTTACCCATCTGGATGCTACTGGAAAACTAACTGTCCTCCAAAGAGCAGAAATACAGTATGTTTTCTCTCAGTTCACTGGCTTATGAATGACTTTGGTGGTGTTGTGTTTGGTTAATACACACTATGATGTCATTTTCTATGTCAGTGATGTGCTTTTTCCTCCTACTCATCCAACTGTATAAAGGAGCTATGCCCATCAGCCTTCCATGCTTACACTGGGCCATTTTAGCTTGAAGTTCTTCACTACCGTTTCTGTGGAGCTGCTCCAAGGCAATGTTCAGACCACCACAGGAATTTTTGGCAGGGAGGGGGCATGGTGAGCAATGAAAACGGCTACTTATTCCTACTAAAAGGCTTATATAGCTCCTTTTATAAGGCCCAGTCATTAACAGAAGATGACAACAGAGTCATTTTTCTTTCAGCTGACAATCGTGACATTTTTCCAGCTGCGCGCAAGGTGTTGAAAACCTGGCAGCTGTTACCTCCTGGGATGAAGACACTTTTTTATCCTCCCTTGACAGTTTAACTCAGTGGGTCAGCACCTTTAAAGACTGCCAAGTATCCTTGAAGAGGATGGAAGCTTGAATTACTGCTCCCTCCCTAATCAATGTAAACCCTCACTGCAGGTGAAGTCTCCATCTATAGAGGTGCAGGGGGGAGGAAAATGTAATGCCCTGAGCCAGATGGTTTTATCTTGTTTTTAAAGAATAAAGGAACAAGCTAACAAGGGAGACAGCTACTTTGTTAGCTTCTTGGCCTCTCTCATGGCTTTGCATCCCCAGGGTTCCAGCTACACAAGAGAAAGAATACAGAAAAACGTAAACACTTAAAGAAATATAACTAGAGGGCTGGCATCATGCTGCTTTCAAAGAGTCGAGAGAGCGCTACTCAATGCTTTATTTATCACTGCCCACGTTCTCAGGATGGTAAGTGGACATCTACACAAAGGGAATGGGGGATGGGAGAAGGATTAGACAGCGGTCACAATTTACTCAATTACAGAGAAAGGCAGGGCTGACAGATCCTATTAGCACCAATGTGAAGCAAAAAAGGAGTTGCATGTTGTAAGGCTACTTTTTCAAAAAGTCATGAGTACTTTCACGTACACTCCCAGGTCTTTGCAGCACTTGTTTGCAGACATGAATAAAAGCTATGGAAACAGTGGCCATGGCTTCCTTGGCTTCATATTTTAGGGGTAAAATGAGAAAGAAAATTGCAGCCACTTTGTACAAAAGGTTCATACTTACTGCCAAGAGGAGCAATTACTCTGAAACTAAGAAAATGAACGCTCTTTAAAAGGATACACTACTTTTCTTGGTTTTCCCTACTTTCCTTCCTTCTGATGTTGGAAATGAAGCAGAAAAGCAAGTATACAAATTGGCTTAGTGACATGGGGGTAGTAGCTCCTGATTTTCTCTTCAGTATTTTCTTTTCCTGGTAACTTCTTCATTAGGTTTTGGAATCGTGGTATGCCAGCCAGATAATACAAGTCAGAAAGCGTTCTCTCCTTCTGGATTTTCTGAAGGAGTTTGTATAAGATTGCTATTTTTTTTTTTCCTTAAATGTTTGATAGTACTAACCAGTGAAACCATATGAATCTTTTGATAATGAATTCAAGTTTTTAAACAGACATCAGGCTATTTAGATTTTCTGTTTTGCCTGTGTCAGTTTTGGTAAACTATTTTTCAAGGGATTTTCCCATTTCATCTAAGTTGTCAAATTTTTGGCATAAAGTTGTTCATAATATTCCATTATTATCCTTTTAATATCTGCAGGAATTGTGGTGACCTTTCTTTTAGCTTTTCTAATACTTAAAAAGCTCTCTAAATTAACATGTAGTAGTCACGTCGTTTTTAACAATGGTTATAATCTACTTTAGAATAATATAAACTACAAAATTAGTTTCAGACAATATTCAACTGGTTAGACCGTAACTATGATTTCTATACTCAATGTTGAAAGAGTTCTTGAACTCTCATTAGAAATATCTGCATGAAAATCTCAAGTTAAGATGTAAATTCGACTTACATCAACACTAGAGAAAAGGCAGCTCTGACATCTTTTTATCTATAGAACTTGACTACAGAAGAAAAAAGAAAAACAGCAAATGGCACTTCATTATTGTCATATGCAATAGAGAAAAGAGAGAGTTTAAACAGCTTATATATTGTGTCCTATCTTTAAAAAATCAGCCGTGGGGTAATCAAGTTCAGGGCAGTCCTGGACAGCTGCCCTGTGACCCGCTTCTATTGACCCCTGCTATTCATCACTCTTCCCTAAGATTGAGAGGGCAAGCTCCTAGGGAGTGACCACCACAATAGACAGACACAAGCCAACAGTAATCTGGTTCGAGCAAAAAACCAGATGGCACTGTAATAAATTTACAAATCTGCATTCATGGGGCTGTTAAAACACCCAGGAGCTAAAAGACTCTGAGGCCCCAGGAGGATCTCCTACTTCTCTGTTTCTAAAGGCCATTTCTCTTTCCAAGAACATCGAGTTCATGCTCTTCACAAAGAGAATGGAGATAAAACCCTTTACAAAGAAGGGAGGGAAAAAGCCTCATGACCTAATTAATCTCTAGAGCTTGGATCTCAACACTGAATGACAGACATTAGAAAAATCATTTTGGAGCACTAGGAGGAAAAAAAAGTTGTTAAATTAAAGTGGAGGAGGTTAAGAGAACCTGCTAAAACAGCAACGAAAAAACCCAATGTTAAATCTCTTTCAAATGCTGCACACAACAGATCTTGCAAGTAGAAAATGATTCGATAATGTATGCATTTATTTTTAAAATGAATCAGATTAGTCCCGTGTGTGACCTGCTGGTCCATCTGTATGTGTTCGACTTAATAGGCACGATTCCCTCTCTCGCTTCAGTTTGAAGTATGAGAGAGATAAATTTAGTTTAATTTTCAACAGATCAGCCTATCCATTTTCCAAATGGACCATCTGGATCAGCCTATTAAAATTAATTTATAACTTTGCAGAGTGAAAATTCGTTTGTTAGCTTAAATAAAGTTGCCAAACTTTTTGTTGTGTCATTGTTTTCTGACAGTTGTTTCTGTATAGTGGGTAGAGTGCTTCTACCTCCAAATTTATTTTATTTAATATTGTTCCATTTATTCAGATTTACAGATGTGGTGTTTACTGCCAAATAATTAAAATTGTAACTGTCTCAATATCAATTACTGATCATTTCTTTATTTACGAAGCTTCCTGAATAGATCCAATTCTATTTTCTAAACAATAATTTTTACAGAAAAACAGAATAAATCCCAAAAGAATTTAACTTAACACAGTTAAGTGTAAAATTGACTATGCCATGGTTTCACTCCTAAGTTAACTCTGTATGAAACTGGAGTCAGAAGGTAGAAACAGAAATAGTTTGGCAATGTTGAGATCTGGGTTTCAAACTACCGACCAGCCAGGCAAGTCATCTAAGTTCTCCAAGCCTCTATTTTCCTCATTATAAACTAGAAATCATACCTTTACAGAGTTACGGTGAAGATTAAATGAAAGAAACGCCAGGTTTAAGACAGGTGCTCAACAAATATTAGGTCTCTCTTTTTCCTTACAACAATGACATAAATGCAAGTAAATGCAATGATTTTTACTGATTTTGCTCATCTCATACAACCTAATGTTATAATAAAAATGAATGGGTGATGTATCTACTCTCTGACAACAGTATACAAACTTGTTTTGGTTGTCAAGGGGCAACAGAAGAATAGAGCTTAGTACAGGCAGCAAGAAAAGCGTTTTTCTTCCCCCACCAAATGTTTTTGGAGATTTTATTTTTTTTAAAAAGGGCACAAGTGTGTTATCTTTTGGAGGTGAAGACACAGTAGTGAGAAAATATATATATATTTATATATATACACACACACACATACATATATAAACACACACACACCAAGAAAGGCCTTTACTTTTAGAAAAAGCAAACACTGCTCAGAATGAAAAGAGGCTAACTTCGTTACAAGCAAATTACTTTTGACTACTCATTTTTTAAAGTTTATAAAGAATTTTAACAGGAAAAGAAGGTTTAAAGTCAACTAGTCTACCATCTGCACTTTAGAAGTACTTAAAAGTTATTTCTCCTGAACAAGAAATCTTTTCTTCCATTTTGTTTTCACTAAATGTAAGCAAATGACTGTCTTGTACTTGTACACAGAGGATATTTTTGAAGTGATTAGGAAAACAATGTTCTGTGATTGAAATTGATGAGAGTGGCCAGATCAACTTCGGAGCACTCTTAAGTTCCAGTGCTTAAAGAATAGCAAATCAGGGGCTGCCTGCCTTTTGTTTTGTTGTTAGTAGCTTTTTATTTTAAGTAAGACTAAATTTCATACCTGTCTAAGTGAATTCTTCTCTGGTATTATCTTCCTAGGGGGTTCGCCATTATTACAGTCTTCTCTCTCTGAGGAATTCTGTGAAAGAAAGTAAGCTTTAATTCAGTTCTCATTATCTTCAATCTATTCTGTGGGAGTAAACTGAATTACATTTCTAATTCTGTAAGCTAGAACATCATGTATAATTATACATTTATTCATTTGAAGATTTATATACATTTAGACATATTCATATGTAAAGAAAAGCATATGCCCATGTATATAAATAGATGTATGCAGGGATCTGGGTGGAAAGTATTTCATCTATTTTAAGTACTGCCCAGCAGATCACATTCATTGGAAGTCTGGTTTACTGCCCTTTAAAAATTTAGGTTGACACTGGACCTAAGAAGGCACTGGTCCAAACTTAAGCTGATGACAACTTAAACCATGATTCATACCTTCTCTGAGTCTTTTAAATAATTGTTTTTTAACTACAGTAAATGGCAGTGGTTATTGCTGTTAGGTGCTGTTGAGCTGGTTCTCACTCACAGTGGCCTGTGTACAACCGACAAAGATGCTGCCCAGTCCCGAGCCGTCCTGTCGCTGCTCTGTTGGAGCCCATTGTTGCAGCCACTGTCAATCCGTTTCATTGAAGGTCTTCCTTTTTTTCTTGCCATCTTTCTCCAGGAACTGGTTCCTCCTAACATGTCCAAAGTATGTTAGATGAAGTCTTGCCATCCTTACTTCTAAGGAATTTTCTGGTTGTATTCTTCCAAGTGATCTGTTTTTCTGGTAGTTCATAGTATGTTCAGTATTTTTCACCAACACCGTAATTCAAATGTATCAATTCTTCTTCGGTCTTCCTTATTCATTGTTCAGCTTTCACATGCAGATTTGCCCAGTGCAATACATCATTTGATTTCTTAACTGCTGCTTCCATAGGCATTGACTGTGGATCCAAGTAAAATGAAATCCTTGCCAACTTCAATCTTTTCTCTGTTTATTGTGATGTTGTTTATTGGTCCAGTGGTGAGGATTTTTTGTTTGTTTGTTTGGGGAGGGGGCAGTTAGTGTCAACTTCCAAATCTGATTCTAGAAAACAGTTCTTTCTCTATTTGTTTTCTCTTCTCTTCTCAGATTTTATTTTCCTCAATAACAATAGCATGGTGCTTAGCTTAAAACAGTAACATTTAATCAGTGTCTTAGTATTACAGTCCATTTGTTGTCACTATCACCTCATAGTGCAACTTGCTATTTTTGGGTGCCCTCAAGTAGATTCCAATTCAAAGTGACCCTACAGGGCAGAGTAGAACTGCCCCATAGGGTTTCCTAGGCTGTAATGTTTACAGGAGCAGTTGGTTAGGTCTTTTTTTCTGCAGAGCTGCTGGTGGGTTTGAACCACCAATCTTTCAGTTAGCAGTTGAACGCTTAACCATTGTGCTACTTCAAAGGTCAGCTCTTAAGCTGAAACCACTGCCATCAAGTCAATTCCAACTCATACAGACCCTTTATGTCAGAGTAGAACTGCCCCATAGGCTTTCCAAGGCAATAAATCTTTACAGAAGTTGACTGCCTCACCTTCCTCCTGTGGGGCACCTGGTACATTTTAAATACAGAGCTTTTGGTTAGCAGCCAAATGCCTGAACCACTGCACCACCAGAGCTCCTAAAGTTTAGCTAGAAAACTTTAAAATGTCAATAGGATTTTTTTATACTTGCAAGGGGGGACGAAATACAAAACAAATCCCACTGGAATCAGATTCAGAGGTATAAAAAATCTGCTATAGTCAACACGTGTAAATCACTATCTCAAAGGCAAAGTACAGAAAATGCAGATTGTATATTATTTGGGTTCTTATTTCCACAACTACATTTTTAACATTAACATCTAAGAACTTGGAGTTGATATGTTATCATTCATTATATTCAGGGAGTTACTATGCTTCTAAATTCAAAAATTGTTTCCCAGAGTCTATCTAAAAATTTAAATAGTACAAAATCATTATTTGAGTAAAGAATCATTACTATGTTTTAAATCTACATATAAGTAGCATTTTTATATGTACCAAATATTACATTTTAAAAGATACTATAGGATAAAAAGGGAGCTCTGGTAGCATAGTGGCTAAGACACTTGCCTGCTAACCAGACGGCTGGCGGTTCAAACCCACCAGCCACTCCTCGGAAGGAAGGTTGGGCAATCCCACTTCCGTAGTGATACAGCCTCGGAAACCCAAGGAGGGGTCACTATGAGTCGGGTTTGACTCGATGGCACATAACAACAACAACAACAACATAAAAAATATCCTTTAGTTTTTTGAAAAGCCAATACCCCAAATGTTACTTTGGGGCAGAAATCTCTAATGAGGTTTCATTTGAAATTAATTCCCTGATATTTTACATTTGTGATTTAGAGACTCTAAAGGTCCCTAAATTTAAGACAGAGAGGAAAAAACTAGCGAGGGACTTCAAGATTCTAATTGCTTTTTCTCCCCATTTTGAAGAAAGAGAATGGAAACTATCTAGATAGAAAAGGGGGGAGAGATATGATTGAGTTAAAAAAGCAAATGAAGAAACTAGCAATACATTACACTATAAGAGAATCAAACAAAGAAGGGGAAAGGTCAACATTCAAAACATAAAAATCAATCTGTATACTTAACTGTTTTTTAAAGTATAGATCAATGTTTTAAATGCCAAAATAAATGTCTTATATAATAAAAACTTAAGCCAGTAGTCAATTATAGCTGTATTCAATTAAGCCAGTATTCAATTATAAACTTATAGTTCGCAAGTAACCATTTCCCACACCATGACGTTCCACACTCCTTTAAATAAAACACCATACCAGATAATCTAAACCTGTTTAATTCAATGTGAGATTCTGTATTTCAAAATTAATTATGTTTTGATGAAATGTCTTTATAATATAGTAATTGGAAGCCTAATTACTTTTTGGTGGAAGTTTTTTAACCTAAAGACATTATAAATCACATTTTCATTCTACAGGTGCCTGGGCTGAAACACAATTGATGCTAAACTCCTCTATAATGAATTAGAAAGTGAAAAAGAATGATCAGAACCCAACAGGCTGAATGGTAACTACCTAGCCTCCATCTACAATTTTCTTCCTCCTGACATTCTACTTTATCTGATTTTGATGGGTAACTATTAAGTGGGTATTAGAGTATCTAAATTATGACAGTCTGTCCTAGAAGAAGTGCACCCAGAATGCTCCTTAGAAGCAAGGATGGCCAGACTTCGTCTCATCTACTTTGGTCATGTTCTCAGAAGGGACCATTCTCTGGGGAAGGATATCATGCTTGGTAAAATGGAGGGTCAGCAAAAAACGGGAAGGCCCTCTATGAGATGGATTGACACAGTGGGTGCAACGATGGCCTCAGGTATAGGGATCACGAGGATGGCACAGGACCTGGCAGTGTTTCGTTCCGTTGTATATAAGGTCGCTATGAGTTGGAGATGACTTGATGGCACCGAACAACAACAACAAATTATGAAAGGGTAAAAGGAGCTAACAGGTAATTACCACTTGACAGCAGAACACAGAGCTATAGAAGAAGAGCTCCTTCCACAGGTGGACCCCACACATAATACAGGGTCTGTTGTTAAAGTGTAACTCTTTACAAACAGGAAAGATAAAAAATATATATACTATTTGTATAGCTAGTTCTTTTTAGATAGATTTACTCTGGACCATGCACCATAAGAAACCAAATCAAAATAGACAAAAAAAATTGATCTCCATTGTTACATAAAGAGCTTTGGTGCTGTGGTTAAAGTGCTCAGCTGCTAACCAAAAGGTTGGTTCGAATCCACCAGCCATTTCACGGGAGCAAAATAAGGCAGTCCGTGAAGATTTATAACCTTGGAAACCCTATGGAGCAGTTATACTCTGACCTGTAGGGTCACTATGAGTTGGAATCCAAGCAGTAGACTTGGTGTTATTTATTTTTTAATTTTTGGTTGTTACATAAAACAGAGGTAGGGGTTTAACAGTCATATCAGAAGCAGGAAACATACACCCTTCTGATAGTGAAGAGGAGACCAAGAAGTCAAGAGAAGAGATAAACAGCTTCTTGAAAGGACCTCTGGTAAAGCATTGGGCTGTTAACTAAAAGGTTGGAGGTTTGAACCCACCAGCTGCTGGTGAAAGAAAAATGGGGCAGTTTGCCTCTATTAACGATTTACAGCCTTGGAAACTATGGGGCAGTTCTGTTCTGTCCTACAGGATGTCTATGAGTCAGAATTGACTCAATGGCAGTGGCTTTGGTTTCTTGAGAGTGGAGGGGAATGATGAAATAGTCATGTGATCACACCTCAGAAAAACCAAACCCACTGCCATGAAGTCGACTGTGACTCAGCAACCCCCATTGGGTTTCCAAAGCAGTAAATCTTTAAGGAAGTAGATTGCCCCATCTTCCTTCTGTGGAGCTGGTGGGTTTGAATTGCCAACCTTCTGGTTAACAGTCAAAATGCTTTAAACACTATGCCACCAGAGCTTGTGGTCGCACCTCAGTGATGGTCAAAGCTTGTGTGCATCTTTATCTATGCTGCATCCCGACACACAATATTCATAATTCTCCTGGGTCATCAAGCTAAACTATGGCTGTTGTTGTTGTTATGTGCCGTCGAGTCAGACCCGACTCATAGCGACCCTTCCATGGATTTCCGAGGCAGTATCACGGGAGCTCTGGTAGCATAGTGGCTAAGGCACTTGACTGCTAACCAGAAGGCTGGCGGTTCAAATCCACCAGCCACTCCTCGGAAGGAAGGTTGGGCAATCCTACTTCCGTAGTGATACTGCCTCGGAAACCCAAGGAGGGGTCGCTATGAGTCGGGGCCGACTCGACGGCAAATAACAACAACAACAACAACAACATCACTAAGGAAGTACATTGCCCCATCTTCCTTCCGAGGAGTGGCTGGTGGGTTTGAACCGCCAGCCTTCTGGTTAGCAGTCATGTGCATTAGGCATTACGCTACCGGAGCTCCTCAAACTATGTCTGTTGTTGTTGTTGCTATATGCCGTAGAGTCAGCCCCGACTCATAGTGACCCCTCCTTGGGTTTCCGAGGCA